TACCTACCTACCTACCTACCTACCTACCTACCTACCTACCTATATATGTAGGATATATATCTGGGGGTTCGACCATCATGAGAAATTAATGGCAATGTATATACTGTACAGTGGTGCCTCGCTTAATGGGCGCCCCGTTTAATGACGAATCCGCATAGCGATAGCTTTTTTGCAGTCGCTTTTGCGATCACATTGCGAGGTTGCCTATGGTCCTCGCAAAGCCCTAGCCGGCATTTTCCCCCAGCTGAGCGGCGGGAGCTTCCAAAGCCACCGCCGCCCCGCTGGGCGACCTACCTACCTACCTACCTACCTACCTACCTACCTACCTACCTACCTACCTACCTACCTACCTACCTACCTACCTACCTACCTACCTACCTACCTACCTACCTACCTACCTACCTACCTACCTACCTACCTACCTACCTACCTACCTACCTACCTACCTACCTACCTACCTACCTACCTACCTACCTACCTACCTACCTACCTACCTACCTACCTACCTACCTACCTACCTACCTACCTACCTACCTACCTACCTACCTACCTACCTATATATGTAGGATATATATCTGGGGGTTCAACCATCATGAGAAATTAATGGCAATGTATATACTGTATATATAGTGTGAGTGTCAGAAGCTGTTAACAATCAGTGGTCTCCTGGATTAATAGTAAGAAAATTACTCCTTGGGATTGTTTTGGGCCTCCCCCAACCCCAGAGAGCCTTCAAATGTATCTGACTAAAACTCCCATCGTCCTCAGCCGAAACCTCCCTAGCCATGCTGGCTGAGAACGACAGGAGCTGTAGTCCAACACGCCAGGAAGACCCAAGGCAAGCCTTGCTCGAGTCCTGCCGCAAAGCTTTTCTGACCGTCTGATATTCTGCTTCCAGGACCGTCTCCTCCACGCCCTTCGGGGTTGTCTTCTACATCCTGCTCTGGTTTGTCCCCTCTGAGTCTCTCTCGGCGCCTCAGAAGTTCTTTTGGCACTGGACCATGTACTGCTTGTTCCAGACCTGCATGAGCGTAAGGATGAGTGCGCGGGGCCGAAGGACGGCGGTTCGCCTTTCCCCGTTGATTCATTCCTTAGGTGTTCATTCTGGGGTTTGGGTTTTGGTCTTGCGCCTCCTGAATTTCAAAAGGTGGGCTCTGGGAATCTGTAGGGGTTGAGGAGACGGAAAAGACGGTGTAAAGTTCTCCTTCCAACAGCATTCACAGGGGAGCCCCTGCTAAGGTCCAAAGCCCACAGGACACAGAATTCTGCAATCACAATCCCAGAATTCTGCAATCACCCCAGAATGCTTTGGGGTTTGGGAAACAGTCACTTGAAGGGAAGGAGGTGGGCTGATCAGAACCACACCATCGCCTATGCCTGGTGATGATGCTTTGGGAACCATATCCGGTTGTCATGCTCCGAAGACATTGAACAGATGGGTCTCCATCATGCTTTCTGCAGAGGCAGCGCAGGTGGGACGGCGGACATTCTGGGCAGCCTTGCTTTCCATTGATCTCAAAATGTATATTTGAAGCCGCAAAAAGCGGTAGCCGACATCTTCTTTTTCTGCCCATCACAAACACATCACGTGTTGTCTGAAAATCATGCTTTTGGCCAATGGGAACGTGATGCCACCTTTGGACTTGGCATTCACCAGAGTGTAGAACATCTCGCCAGATCCCTGGAGGGTCGGCTCCAGATTCCTCTTGACACCCGGGGCTCCTTCACTGCCTTGCTGTACCCATGATTTTTACCCCTTCTTCCCTCCCTCTAAAAATGGGCAACCGTGCCCTCTAAGGGAGAAATAATTAACAATTACTTTTCCCCTCTTCTTCCCCTTTGCCCCAGGTCCTCTATAAAGGAGACCCATAAATGTTTGTGGAGTTTATGAAACACCCGGCGCCCATCACATCTCCTCCTTCCTTATCTTAGGCTACGAACGCACGGGTTACCCTTGGATTCACAGCCTGTGGGGCAGCTGAATTGGCAGCCAGGGCTCACACCGCTTGCCCCCATCCCCTACGGGGATCATCCTGCATTGGCCTACTCTGCAGGACTGTTGTGATGCCGTGATAATCGAACGCAAAGCATTTGGCGTGTTCGGGAGCGCTGCCACAAAAACGCCAAGCCGGATAAGGCAACTGAATGTGCAAAATTGTGTGCTGGGCCAGGCCTGGCTGACGTGGTTTTTTATCCTCCTCCCCTCCAGTGCTATCACGTACCTTATTCCTCGCTGACCATGTTTCTTGGAGGAAGCGAAAAAGAGCGGGATTCTGCAACGTCATTCAGTAAGTCTTTTTGGCAAGGGCGCTGATCAGCAAAAGGCCAAACACCGCCAGGGCAGGAAGCCCAGTGGTTTGCATTTCCAATTCAAGCAGAAGTGGGTTTTTCCCCTGACCCCCAAGAGGTGGGGGCAAATTCCAATTTGGGAAAGGTTGGGTGAGAAAACCCCAGCTGAATTGTGGCTGTGGGGCTGAAGCCAAGGAGGAAGGAGCAAAACATACCCCTTGAGGCCTTTCCTCTACTCATGCAAAGCACACTTCAATGATGTGCCTTCCTTCCTCAGAGAAACCTTCAAGCAACAGCTTGGAGTTATTTACAGCCTCGCATGCTGCCTTTAGTAGGTTTGGCTGGAAGGGACCTTTCTAGGCTGGGGTGATTGTCAGTCTACCCAGCAGTAACCAATCCTTCCTTTCCTGGCTCTGATTTCAAAGGGAGCCCCACCTCTTTGCTCAGGGCTCTTTCCCCCCCCTCTTGTGAGTCCGTTGGAGTCAGGTCGTCTGTTGTTGAAAGCTGTCACGTTTGTCGGTTTGCTGTTTGATCTGTTCAATTGTAAGTAATGGAACCTTTTGTTCTTTCTACCATGGATGTTTCAGAGTCAGTTACTGAAACGGTAAGTGCCAGTTAACGAGAAAAGGGATGGGCTCATCTAGGGAACCAGAAGTTATTTTGCTCTGTAAATCCGTGCACTTCTGCTGCACGACACAAGGAATTTAAGCCAACATTCTTTCACACTTTCAGGAGCGCAAAGCACAGCTCCTGTTCCATGTGACAGTTTTTCAGGCTTCAAAGTAGAGTTCTTCCACTGAGCTAACCCAGACCAGATCATTTTCCCACTGGATTCCTGGGGTTAAGCCAAGCCCTCCCCAAGTTGCACCTGTTGGATTAGGCTCATTAGAAATGACATGAATTATATATGATATAATTCGTATCATTTCTAATCAGCCTAATATACCATATTTTCTGTGTATAAGACTATACTTTTATCTGAAACCTTTAGACTAAAAATAGAGGGTCATCTTATATATGGAAGTAAGTTGAGGAGAGAACAAAAACAAGTGGAGGGGAAAGCAGGGATCAAAGCGATCCTGCAGCGCTTTGATCCCTTTCCCCCTTCTATTTCCCAGCCCCACTTAGATTTCTTAATTTTGGATTAGAAAAGCGGGGGCGTCTTATACATGGGGGTGTCTTATACAAGGAAAAACATGGTATATACTGCACCCTGTTTGGGCAGCTTCCCACACGGTGATCCAACACACTGAAAAGCTATATCCTGTGAGCTAAAATGACAACAGGAGATTTCAAAAACCATGGATTTTGGGTGCCGTCCATTGGAAGAGGAAGGATGAATGGCAGTTTCCAGTCCGGAGCCTGGAAAAGTTCCTCTTTTTTTTTTTTTGTACCACCACTCCCAGAATCCTCTAGCCAGCCTGAGTTGGCAGGGTTGGCTGGGGGTTCTGAGAGGAGGAGTCCAAAAAAAGAGAGGGGGGGGAAGTAATTTTTCCAATCTCTGTTTGCAAAGGAACCTTTCTGCCTCCTGTCGAGAACGGCCTCTGTTTTAGCTCTTCACAATCCTTCCCGCTCATACATCTTCTGCTTTCTTCCAGGGATGGCGGTGGAGGTGCTGAGCACTTTGGTGGGATCCTGTATCCAGGCACAAATGGTGGGCAGTCATCATGCAGCCATGAAGAATAGCTGTGACCCGGGGAACGTGACCCTGAGCAACGCCTCCCTCCTGCTGCCGGACACTCTTGACCAGACTGTAAGGGCCTGCAGCTAGTCGGGGAGGCTGAACTGTGGTGGGGTCGAGAGCAGGTGGGGAGAAGCGAGGGCTTTGCAACAAAATGTTGCCGTGGGGATTCCCCTCCTAACAGGAGTCCTCCCTTTCTGCATTTTAGGCATCTGACTGTCCCTGCAGGGCTGTCAGGAAACTGCCTTTTTCTGACTCAAGCCTGTGACCTAACTAGCCTGAGGGTCTTTCCTAGCCACCCTTGGAGACACTGGGCATCGTGCCTGTTGTTCCTTTGACAGAATTGTAGGGAGTTATTTTTGGCGACAGATGTTAAAGTAGAACTAGCTTTCCCAGGGACCTAGAAAAGTTACCGACTTTGGTTGGATTGCCGAGCCTCTTGGCGTGTCAGAATCCTAATCAGGACGTGTTATAGCTTGCAAAGGATCTCAGCTGCTGAGATTACAGTAGGACACCCTCCCCTCCGCAGGATACACTTACCAGCTCCTTAAAACACCAAATAAATCCCCCTAGAAATACATATTTATATGTATTTCCAGGCTGTATTTACCAGGCGTGGCCACTAGAGAAAGCCAGACAGCATGTAATGCATGGTGTTCGATGCTTTCACAGTGGGGCAGGGGGCTTGGAACCAATCCTGCAGGGATATTGCAATCCTATGTAATTCATTTAAGTAACGAACATTACATTGGGGATGGTGGCCAGGATTTTTTCCATGCAAAGCATAGACCTATGAACCCGTTCCATTCGAGTCCAATCTTTTGGAGGCATGCGTGCTCTTCTATGGTTCCTGAGTGCTCTCCCCAGGCTATCTAAGGCGGTTATCATTTTACAGACTTTTTTGGGGGAAGGGTGAGATGCGTGGGAAACCTCCCCCCTCCCTCCCCCCCAAGCACACCAATACCTCCCTCTTGCTCCTCATCAGCACTCCCCATTTTGCTGATGGAGAGCTGGATGCCAGGGGAACCATCTGCCCGAGGGGGGGCGGTCAGTGTAGGGGCAGAGTCAGCAGCCACTCAGGATCGGAACCCATGGATGTGCAAGGTTGGGGGACTGGGTGGAAGGGGGTGGCTCAGCAGCGGGGGGGCAGTCAACAGCTGGAAGGAAGAACCCCAGGGCAAGATGGGATGGTCCGGGGAGGGGGGGAGTCCAAGGCAGACCTGCCCTTTGGTCCAATGTTACAGGCTGGACTGAGAAGTGGCAGGGGTGGGGTGGCTCAAGAGGACACCAAGAGCAAAACTGGGAAGGCTTTTTGGGACTACATCTCCCCTGATTCTTCAGCGCCTGTGCCTGGGGATTCTGGGAACTGTAATCCATCGTAGTCACTTTTCCAAGCTCCGCCCAAGGATTGCAAAGTTGCCGAGAGCAACGGAAGGGCTTCCAACTTCACCCTGTAGACTGCAGTTGTGAGTGCATCATCACAAGCCCCCCCAAAAAAGTTTGTTTGTTTGTTTGTTTGTTTATTAAATTTATACCCCCCCCCTCTAGACCCTGTCTACTCGGGGCGGCTTACAACATAAAATAAATCAATATAAAAATATATAAATACAATTGCAATATTAAGACAATTAATTTAAGAAAGGAGTACCAAGATGGGATAGAATAAGAAAAGAAAAGAGAGAGAAAAAAGGACTTAGCTGACTGGAGGGAAGGCCTGCTTAAATAGCCAAGTTTTTAACTGGCTTTTAAAAGCACCCAGCAAGGGTGCCAGCTGAATTTCTGTCGGAAGGGCATTCCACAGCCGAGGGGCCACCGCCGAGAAGGCCCGGTTTCTAGTTTTTTCCTTCCGAGCCTCTCTCGGCGTCAGGCCCCTCAGCCGTTCCTGCTGGCAAAGATGGGTGATTCGGGTAGTTTCGAGCTCAAATCCTACAGAGTGAGACCAAACTCATCCTAGTCGGTAATCTTCTGGTTCCTGATCTCCACTTCCTTTTCTGGATCTGGATCTAGCCTCTCTGCCAGGAAAGAAGGGTACCTACGGTTCATTCCCCTTCTTGCTGTCTGCCCAGCAATGGATTAATTTGTGTTTTTTCCCCCCTGCCTTTTGCAGCGCAAGGCCTATGTGGGGGCTTCCCTGGTCCTCGGCTCCATTTATTGCTTCTCCTGCCTCGTGCTTTTCTTCGGCGTAGAAGAGCATTCCCGTAAGTTTCTTATGGTTTCAGTGAAACCGCCATCATCCAGAAAGTAACTTTTGCAAGCTGTGGACCTGAGACCGTGGTGGGGGGGCTGTACCACAGTGGTCACCACTGGCTCCTCAACATCTGGATGGGACATGCTGGGCTCCTGGGTCGTAGGGTCCCCCAAGGATCCGTGCTTTAGGTGTGATTGAAGGCAGTCCCTAAAAAGCACAAGGAGAGTGTCTACTGTCTCTGACCGAGGGCCTGCCTTGTCCAGCAGGGGTAGACTGCCTCTGAGCCTGGAGGTTCTACACAGCCATCCTGGGCAACAGCCAGTCCCTGAGAGGTTTGAACTCTGCCCATGCTTGAAAGCCCATTTCTGTTCTGCTGTGTAGTTGCGTCTCGTGGTTTGAGCAGACGTTTTATGCATGCAGGAGACGTTTTATGGACGCAGAAAGTTCCACAGGGCAGAGCAATGCATGCAAGCCTTGCTCTCAGCATCAAGGGACGGCAGGTGTGGACAATCCTTGAGTCGGTCAGGCAGTCCTGCTGGCATTTCCGACTTTTACATTCAGGGCGGTGGCATTTTCTTTTTCTGATGTCGTGTGCGTTATTAAACCTTGGAGACCAACTCAAAATCGTGAAAACCTATCCTCTCGTTCAGCCCTATGTGCTTGCTTGCTTGCTTTCTTCTCCAGATCCATCTTCTGGCTCTTTCAGGAAGACCAGTCTCTCGGGCTTCCTCAAACTGGCCGCCCACAGACCCTTCACCCAACTCCTGGGCTGGTTCCTGCTCGTGTCTCTTGCCTTCCAGGTGAGGGCACCTCCAGGCACGGCGTGGACAACGGGGCAACGGAAGGGCGAAACCTCAGCTCGTGGGGGTGGTTTAATCCAGGAGAATGGCAGGACTTTTGCACGCAGATGTTCCCAGGTTCCAAGGCAGACGACAGGATGAAGGAGAACCTGATTTGGGTGGTGGTGGTTTGGAAGGACGAATTATGCCTGATAAAATTAGTCATTTCATCCACCATTCCTAGAATTTCCCTCGTGAGCACTGGGCTTGCTGGTCTGGAATGTCCTTGAAATCCAGTCTAGAAAAGGCACATTTCCAAGTCTTGGGGTAGGAGACGGAGAGGCGGCCAAACCCGCCGAGGGCAAGAAGCGTCACTGAAATGATCCCAAAGGAAAAGGGAAGGAGACCATGCCGGATGGCCCACCTTGTTTCCCCGGTTCGAGGTGGTTGCTCACCCTGTTTCCTCTCCACTTCATGAAACGCCTCCCCGTGTGCAGCCTCAGTGACTGTCGAGCATCAGCAGGAGACAAACAGGTTCTCCTGTGAACCTCAGCGCGCTCACGTTGGGCAGTTGCAAGGCCTTCATCCCCTGTGTTCCTTTAAAATAGGGGAGGGCAAAGGGCGGCCTTCCAGATGGGGAGTGGCGATGCCCTCCACTCTCTCCCGTTGGCTGTGCTTGCGAAGGTCGGTGGGGGCTGCAGCCCAACCATGTCAGAAAACTCTGCCCACCCTCTATTGTGCCTACTGCATTTTACACCAGCTGCTATATCCACACATTGTAATTAAGCCATGATTTTTCGAAGGCTTTCACGGCCAGGATCCGATGGTTGTTGTGGGTTTTTCGGACTGTCTGGCCGTGTTCCGGAGGAGGTTTCCCTTCCTAACGTTTCACCGGCCTCTGTGGCCGGCATCTTCAGAGGACAGGAGCCAGAACACTGTCTGTGTTCTGGTGTCGTGTGTGGGATGGTTGGAACTTGTTGTGTTGTGATGTGCTTCTCCACCTCTGTTAAAGCACACCCGTCATAACCAGCCATGAGCCACGACCTGCATAAAGCAACTTTGGGCTAGGATCTAGGCCATTTACAGCTGGGGAGAAGGCGAGCCAGCAGCCTCTTTCCCATCGCAGCCCCAAAAAAGGTTTAATTCCCTTTTAAATTCCTGGTAAAAATGCTGCCACCAACCTTCTCTTCTTCGTTGCCCTTTGGACATGTTCTAAGGACAAAATACCCCGATAACGGGATCATGGGCCCCTGGGGTGAGGTTTAACCCAAAGCAGCTCTTCAAGACTGAACCCTCCACGCCCCGAGCGGACTGTTTCCAGAAGGGTAACTTTATTAAAAGTAAAGGAAGTCAAGACATGGTCAGACGAGTAAAGCAATTGGGTTGCACAGATAACTTTTCACCACTTCTTGTGCAAAACATAAACCGGCAGCAGGCACTCAAAAGAATGCAGTTACCGTACTAGCTATGCTTCCTCACAGCTGTGGTTTGGCAAAACCGTGCTGGCCCTCCTCCCTTGTTTATATAGATTTTGGTTTCTTCTTCCTGATAATAATCCATTTCTCTGCTGGGGTTCCATCTCTTGATCTTCTGGGAAGAAACAGACCCCCTTGTTTGACTCCAGGAGCCTGACTTAAGCTCCCCGGTGCCCGGTGTGTGTATTCCCTGGGGATTCTGACCAAAAAGGGAACTTCAAAAGGCTTTTGATCTGGGTACTTAGCTAATTGGCCTCTAAGGTAGAGGCTAGCTGTGTTCTCTGTGTGTATATTTTGCATGCAAAGGGAACAGGGGAGCTTGTGAGTGGCTTCCTTCCCTTCCTGCATTAAATTGGACTTCTAACAAGTTTGTGTGACTTTGTGATAACATCGCTGATGCTTCATTATGCCCTTAGCATCCTAACTATGGGGTTTCTCCCCATATCTTGACAACCTGGACCCTTAGTTTGCTGTTGACTCTGACTTGTTCAGTCCACGGCTTGTCATGCCATCCAAACTTGCAATCATGTCTTGACTGTGGCTTATTTATCCAGCTCACCACCCCAAAAGATGACCAAGGAACAGGCAGGAGATAGACAAACCAGATCTGGGGGAGACAAGCCCCAGTTTGTGAGGTCTTCCATTGAGAAATGTATGGTTTAAGCAACAAGCCAAAGTTAAGATAAACCATGGCTTGCTCTGATGTCCAAACACGTCCCTTTGAAATGGACCCCTTTGGTTGCTTTTGTTGTTGTTTAGTCGTTAAGTCACGTCCAACTCTTTGTGACCCCATGGACCAGAGGACGCCAGGCCCTCCTGTCTTCCACTGCCTCTCCTGGAGTTGGGTCAAAGTCATGCTGGTCGCTTCGCTGACCCTGTCCAGGCATCTCATCCTCTGTCGTCCCCTTCTCCTCCTGCCCTCACACTTTCCCAACATCAGGATCTTTTCCAGGGAGTCTTCTCTTCTCAT